TTTACTTTTTTCTTCAAATTCCAGATATACCTATTATTGAAAGTGCTTGTGAAGCGTCTTATAACCCAACAACAATAACATCAATTAGCAATGATAACCATAATGGGAACAAAAAGCCCATAAATAAATAAATAAAAATTTGAGCCGCGGCCTCCCTCAAAGATAAAGAAAGACAATCAACTCATTATCATTTCTTTTGTTTGTTTGTTTGTTTGTTTAACGCATGATTGGGGATTAAACCATCTTTATTGTTCTTCATGTATTCTTCATTCGTCCCTTTTCATCATGCAAATGATCAACAAGAACATAGTATGCATGAACAAAATCACTTTTTTATGACTTATCTTTAAGAAAAAAAAAAATGTTACTCCTGATTCCCATAATCTAACATGTACGTATCTTTTTTTTATATATGTAATAAACAAGATTAACATACTATTACTACCGAAATATTTAAACAAAAAAGGACATCTCAAGTATTTTACTTATCAATTTAAAAGCTACATTACCATATCAAAAACGAAAAGATTGTACGTAGAGATTTTTATTTCTGCCTTGAACGGAATCTTCAATTTTGCATATTTTCTTATCCTTAAATGATATGTAAGAGCTACACATCTACGAACGACAACTAATATTTGAACATTTCGTCTAACTCATTATTCAACAATGCAAGAAGTTTTTGGTTCTGATCAATTCTGTCTGTTTTAGAACTTCTATGACATATTTCCACTTAAAAAAAAGAAAAAAAACAACAGAAACGCTGCACTAATTCCTTCATTTCGAAAAATCTATTGAAAAAAAAAAAACGACAGATCATTTAATTTTCCATGTTGATAGCTATCCGTCGTACCATTATATTTCTAACGATCTAATTTCGTCTATTTTCTTGTAATTACTGTCTCAGAAATGGTAGTTGGCTGAGAGCTAGCAGCCGCATCCCATTTTCTTCAGAGCAAAATTCAAGTCGAAGTTACTGTGTCATTTGCTGACGGAATGAGGTTAATACACTACGAAATGATAGTGTTTAAACATTAATAAAATGTTTAATACTGGCACAAAACTGCAATAATGACAGTGCATACAAACACCAACTCCAACACTACTTTTTTAAATAATTGAACTAACATCATTTGCATTATAATCCAAAAAAAGAGAAAAAAATAGCAGATTGTTCCACTTTGTGCTGTACAAATCATTCACAAAAGAACCATGTCAAGTGAAATAGAAGACGCAGACGGTTCACGGCGGTGTACCTGGACAACAAGCATTTGGCCAACGGATCTTGCTTGACATGCCGGGTCAGTTTGCCGTCCTTTCGAGGTCATCTGTATACTGACCTTGCTGAAGGAGCCGAAGGTCTCACCAGCTGGCAAATCAGCAATACAAGAGATGTTCATTAAACCAGACTTCTCTGATCTATTCATGAACTGACTCTGAGGAAGTTTGAGACGTAACTTTGGTACGTTTTTCCTTCGGCGAATAGAAGGAAAGGTTTGATGAAATTCCTCTCGGTTCAGAAAGTCGTTGGCTGTTAGTCTGTTATTACTTATTTCTTATTATTTCTTTTTAACGTAAGTTTTCATCTTTGAGAAACCACGAGAAATCGCTTCCTCGCCAACGTGGAATCTTATTGCATTCTTTGTAATCGTATAATGTACACTGCTATTGCTTTCCTACTCGGTGTTCGCGTCTTCGAGTTCCAGAGTCGGGACGCCTTCGTGGAATGGCCGGTTCGCCACGAATGACCTACAATATCGCGTGTATGTATTGTGTATCGTAGTCGGACTTACACACCAGTCGCGCGCCGCAAGAACAGCATTAGCCTTGCCAGACTATGGCGAGGCTCGACATGCAAAGCGCCTTTCACATCGATAGAAACTTCGGCTACAACATTCTCGATTTCTTCAACAGACACATATGACCCAACCCTGTAAAATCAAATGAGAAAACACAGGCTCTCAAAATCATGTTAATACTACATTTAGGTTCAACATAGAATTATGAATTAGATATTCCAAGGCATTCGTTACTCCAAACTGGGTAACTGTCATATTGGTCCACCATCATCGACGCCGAGCCTAAGTGACGTCATCCCGCGTCACGTGACCACAGGGACCGGCATGGTGCTCGGGGCCGATGACAAAGCTTACAGATTCTCTAGTTTCTATGGACCATGGAAACCCTATGAGACAGACAATCACAAATTCAATAAGAGACAAACACATCAAGTCCACGCACAGCACAAACAGTCAGAAGTGTTCCACCCACAAGATAAAACAACACAGAGCATATTGCTAACAACATTGGTTTAATCATCAATAATGTGCGAGCTCAAGATGTATCGGTTTGACCCACGTGGACACGTCCTGTGTGCTCATTGGCTGATACCGGTAACTCAACGACCAATCAGCACTCAGGATTTTTAACATCTTGGACAACTGCTCGGTCTTACGTTATATCGAAGAGCGCTTTACACAATGATGACTTTACGAACATATGGACTTCAGAAAATCGTTGGAAAGACTCGTTCACGGCCCAACAAAGAAAGGCAAACAATACTAACTGTTAGGATTCTCCCCTTTCTCGCAGGATCGAAAGGACTCGTCCGTTGTAACCCGGGTTTGAAGTGACTCGAACTAATGACTTCTATTAAGCGCAGCCTAATAATCTAATAACATTTCGCTATAACTTTGTGTCTGGTTAATTCTGCAGCTTTCTGTGGCGGCGGCAAGAAAGGTCAGAGAGAGTGCGGAGAAATGCGCGCGCGACTTCGAAACACGTTTCTACGGGGATTCGTTGACAGGGATGCGGGGCGGGCGGGCGGGCCTTGGAGGGGCGGGGGGGAGATGGGGGGGGGGGGTGATACACAGGCTTAAAGGAGGTCAAATGCCTAACAGCCAATAAGGAGACTCCGACCTAGCATAAACACAGAGGGGTAAAGACGGGTCCTTCACGTTCGAACAGGGCGGGAGGCGCCGCGGGAGGAGAGGCAGGGACCGCGGGGACAAAACCTTACGAGGTCGCGTTGTCTGGCGGGATTCGCTGTTCTTCTGAGATTTAGAGCAGGTGGAAAACGATCACTGTGTATCTGGTGGTATGGCACGTGGATATCTACATGAGTTTTTTATTCAGTTGTCATCAGTTAAGTTATTTAAGGCAGAATAGCTGAAGACTAGTGACACTAAAGCTACGTTCTCTTTCACCTTTGGCATCGTCACAGCTGCAGACTCTTCACGGCGCGTCCGGTTCTACGCTTTTTTTCATCAACGGAAATCAAAATTGTAACCGTAACTAACGATTATGGAATGAAGCTTTACTGAGAAGTTAGTATTATTCCTTTTTAAATTCTATAATGCATTACAAACAGTCACGACAACAGGCTGCAGTGCGGAAGTGGCGCAAATTGACAAAGAACGTGGCCTAACTTTGAGCCAACGGTGATTGAATGGGACCTTATCATTATAATCATCATCATCATCATCGTCCATGTTTCCGAATTTCTCTTCCTCCTCCAGTGTTCCTTGGCTTCTCCTCGCTCTCCCTCGCCGTCGCCTTCGCTCGCGGCCGAGGCCTTCGCTGCCTTACATGTCCCCGAAGATCCCGGCGAAGGTCTTGCGCAGGTTCTTCATGGTGTCCTCCGTGTCGTCGCCGGTCGCCGCCTCGTTGGCCGTGACCGACGTCTGGCGCCCGAACAGCGACGGCTTCTGCCCCGCCGACTGCTGGGACGACTGACTCACCTCGTCCACCTGCCGCCGCGTGCCGCTGGCGCTGCTGAACCCGCTGATGCTGCTCGACTGGGAGGCTGTTGGAGAACCAGCTGTTGAGAGGGACATCGGTCAGGCGGAGGCGGGGCGGTTAGAGACCAGCTGTGTGAGGGACAGGGAGGCGGACGGGCCAGGGGGGGGGTACCATCTGCTACGAGAGGGGGAGGGGGGGGCAAGGAGGAGAGAGGGACCACGAGGGAAAGGGAGAGGATATCACGAGGGACAAAGGAAGCCATAGGAAAACGGAGAAAATAATAAGATTGGAAGTAAAGGAAGCCGTAAGGTATTGCATATAGATAGATAGATAGATAGATATAGATTTTTTTTTTTTTTTTTGAGAGAGAGAGAGAGCGAGAGAGAAAGTGGGACAGGGAGTGAGAGAGACAGAGAGACAAAGAGAGAGGATGAGGATGTGAAGGAGGCAGGCGAGGACGTCTCGTAGCGATGGCGTGGGAGAGGAGAAGGTGAAGTCGTGAGGCAGTGCTGTGTGGTGTGGCAGTAAGTATATGCTGGACCTCTAACTTTCTATTCTACATCGAAATTTCACAAACAGAACAAACAAACAAACAAACATGCAGACTGTAATTCACATGCATTATTGTTTTTCACGAAAGAGAGTAAAAAAATACATATCTTATTCTAGTATAACTACGTTACGATTTGTCTTATCATTTCATTCTAAAGCTTCCAGGCACAAAATTCATTCAATCGCACTAGTTTAAGAAAAAGCGGAGAATTTAAAGTTAGCTTACAATCCACTATTCATACCTAATCTTTCTGTTCATGCTTTCTAATCATCATTCTAACTCTTCCTTCGTGCTTGCCTTCAGTCTCCAATCAAGAGCTTTCACCACAAATGCATTTCGCACTTTTATCATCATAATTTCCCCGTCTCACGCATCCTCACATTTAATTAATGCGATACTTTCATGCTGACATACGCAATAATACGCATACAAATTTTGTCACAAATGCATGCAAATAACCATTCACTCGCTCGTATTCCCCTTTCAACTTCACACACACACACGCACACACACACACCACACGCACATGCACACGCACACCACACACACGCAACACACACACCACACACACACACACACACACACACACACACACACACACACACACACACACACACACACACACACACACACACACACGCACACGTTTTCTAGCTCATCGTTGTAAACACACTTACCTCTCACCCGCACGCTGTACATAAGACTCTGACAAACTACAGCATAAACATACTCACAATCACATTCTTATACACACATACTCTCCCAATATCAATTATAAACACAGACCTCTTTTATATCCACATCCCCTCATTCTTACTTTCTCCATCTCTTATTTACTCTCTCTTATACAAGCACATATCTTTTCACCCTCATATGTAAGACAAAAATACACCCTTAAATGTATTCTCTCATTCACGTGCAAATATACCTGTACAGTATTTACTTTCGCCTTTGTTATGTCACAGTCAAGAAAAATAATGTAATTTTACTCTCTCACTCGCAAAAAAAAAAAAAAAAAAAAAAAAAAAAAAAAACACACAGAATTACTGCCTTACTAAGGTAAATAGTGATAAATTTGCGCTCACTCCAACAAACACACTTACATTCAGTCTTTCTACTCAGACAGACATGCTTATCCACCCTCTCGCTCACACTTACACCCTTGGATTTTATCCTCATCCAGACAGACACGTGCATTTTTACTCTCTCAGTCAGACAAACACATAAGCTACGTCACCGATTGTATTTCAGTCTCATTTAGACAAAAGGTTTATATTTACTTTCTCACTTTCTCACACAGAAAACAAGAATTACTACGCGCAGACGCGCATATTTACTCTCTCACTCAGACGAAAAGACCAACCCCCAGATTTATTCTGTTATACAGATAGTCAGATGTATATTTACTCGCTCATTAATACAAAAAAACAAACAAACAAACAAACAAACATAGGTCCTCTCTCTCTGATCTGATCATTTTTCCCTTACTCAGCCAAAAGCAGTCTCACTAACATAAAACCTAAAGACGTACTCTCATTAACAAAACCAGGCATATTTTCTCTCAAAATACAAAAACCACAGACGTTCCCGCAGATACTCGTAAAGAAGGCTTATTTACTAATTCATGAACACAAAACCCACAGCCTTACTTTCTTAGAAAAAGCAGGCTTACTTACTCACACACAAGCGTAAACACTTACTTTCTTAGATAAAAAAACGCATACTTACTCTCACAAACAGAAAACCCACAAACGTACTCCCTTATATAAAAAAATATTTACTCACACACACAAAACCCTCATTCTTCCTCTCTCAGCTTAAAAAGGGAACATTTTCCCCTCACGCGGCCGAGGGTCCGGAGCCTCACGTCCTCGAGGGCCACACTTACCCTGAGAGTCTCGGCGCTGCTGGCTAGGAGAGCCTCCGGGGATCGGAGTCTCGCTCATGATCAGCCTCGAGGTGTCCTCTGTGGGGGAGCCGCCCCTGGAGGACATGGTGCCGCTCAGGGACTGCCGCGAGGAGCCCCTGGTCAGCTCAGCGGGGCCAGGTCGGGTCACCCCCTGTGGCGGCGAAAGGCGGGGGTGAGTGGCGCTTGGGGGCGTCTGGGCGGAGTTAGGGGGCGGGGGGGGGGGGCTTAAGTCTCCTTTATTTCCTTTATTTCCATTTTGACCTTCTGGGCGGATGCGATGCTTTGGTCTCTCTTATGGAGCTATTTCTCATGAGTTTGATTTCGCATATAGCTATACTGCATATATATATATATATATATATATATATATATATATATATATATATATAATATATATATATATATATATATATATATATATATATATATATATATATATATATATATATATATATATATATATATATATATATATATATATATATATATATATATATATATATATATATTATATATATATTATATATTATATATATATATATATATATATATATATATATATATATATATATATTATATATATATATATATATATATATATAATATATATATATATTATATATATATATATATATATATATATATATATATATATATATATATATATATATATATATATATTATATATATATATATATATATATATATATATATATATATATATATATATATATAATATATATATATATATATATAATATATATATATACACATATATTAATATATATATATATATATATATATATATATATATATATATATATATATATATATATATATATATATATATATATATATATATATATATATATATATATATATATATATATATATATAATATATAATAATATATATATATATATATATATATATATATATAATATATATATATATATATATATATATATATATATATATATATATATATATATATATATATATATATATATATATAGGTACATTAAAGCTTCAAAATTTATTTCCTTTTAAGATTTTTTGTATAGAAAATGTTTTTTACTTTCAGAATGACTATCAAAGATTATTAATTTGCAATTAAATATATACAACGACATAATTTAATATGGACAATAGCGAAGTAGTTGATAACATAACGAAGCATTAGATGTATCATTTCAAATTATTTTTTTCTTCTCCTTCTCCTCTCTCTCTAAAGAAAAAGGAAAAAGAAAAAAAAATAGATGAAGTATTCCGGCCGAGGTACGACCCACACAACTCAGCAATAGCCTAGCAGAATTGTTTAAAAAAAGCGTGCATTCATCAAACCAATTTTTGGATTCACGAAAAAAATCCTAAATGCACTGATACCATAAGGTTGACTACTATACTATTAACATTCCTTGTAGCGTCCAACGGTAGTGGCGACCTAGATTCTACACCGTGTCTGTACAGTGGGCAAGTATACGGTAAGGTTCATTGGATGGGTGTTGCAAGAGCTTCAGTGACAATCAATCAGTATTTTAAATCTATGGTTTATTTTTTATTGCACTCCGTCTATCTCTTTCTCTCTTTTGGACTTTTTTTCTATGATTATCACTGGAACCTTGACTTAAAAAAAAAATCTTGCTTAAAAAATTCCCGAAACAAGCATAATTTCCCTTGGTTGCGCATTTTTTTTTTTAATTTTTTTTTTTGGCTTGGGGGAAACGGGCAGGGTGTGATGCTCGGAGGTCATAACGTCAGCAAAGAGAACTTTCTGAACACTAGGACAAAAGCACATTAAGGTCTTTGACTTAAATATATTACAGAAACGTAGACTGAAATCACAGCACCTCTGTCTCAAATTGGTGCAATATTTTTAGGTGATTATCAATTACATTTTTATTTTTGTAGTTGCTAGTTCTCATGCTGGCGTTATATCACAGATTCGTCAATTCGGAACTAATCTACTGCGTTCATGATCACCAATCCTCTAATCATTATTTCTATAAATAAGATACTGCAGGGATTTCCAAAAATCGCTAAGTTTGACTAGTAGCATGTAAAAAAAAAAAAATCTGAAAGCGTGTGAATTGACGAACCTTATTTCTACTTTTATATCTCTTTTTTTTATTGTAATTTAAGTCACTGCGTCTCACGTGACTGCTACAGAGTTACTGAAAGTTACCTGAACCTCGCAGAAGTCCTGGTCACCGGGAAAAATACACAAATTGGCAACTGTCTTAGATATCTGCTCCCAAATTTTATCATTATCGTTTTATTTTTCAATATGATCAGTCTCTTTTCTTTACTTTTGGTTAATGGAAATACACAGGTTGTCCGTATCATGAAAACTGTTGCTTCTAAAAGAATTATCAAAATTACCTTTTATATGAAACTAAACTGCCACAGGTGACAGAAGTGTTATATTACCAACAGTTCTGATATCATAATGATGAAACCCAAATGTAATCTATCTAAAAACAACAATATCAGTCTCACCTTTCAATCTAGATATCTATACCAATGTGTGAAACAGCCGAAACAATTTATTTATAATATTTGTGCCAAATACCATTTATTTCAAATTGTGAACAAATGGCACAAAACACATTAAAAATCCTTCACGATTTAATATCTATAATCAGCTTTCCCAAAATTACAACTCACAAATATATACTTTGATATGATTCAGTCACAAAAAATAGAAGTACGTTCTAAACATTCATGCATGTAAATAAATGTATGTATATATATATATATATATATATATATATATATATATATATATATAATATATATATATATATATATATATATATATATATATATATATATATATATATATATATATGTATGTGTGTGTGTGTGTGTGTGTGTGTGTGTGTGTGTGTGTGTGTGTGTGTGTGTGTGTGTGTGTGTGTGTGTGTGTGTGTGTGTGTGTGTGTGTGTGTGTGTGTGTGTGTGTGTGTGCGCAGTTCCCTCCAAAAAAGAAAATCAAGAAATAGAAAAAAAAAAAAGAAAGACAAAAAAAGAAAAAAGAGAATCAGAGACAAAAGGAAAAGAAAATCAAGAAAGAGACAAAGAGAAAACGAAAAAATAAGATCCAAGAAAGAAAAACACCAAAAAAAAAAGAAAATATAAAATCAGGAGAGGGTTAAAAAAAAAAAAGAAAAAAAAAAAAAAGAAAACCAAGAAGAGACAAAAAAAAAAAAAAAAAAAACAAAAAAAACGCGAAAATGAGAAAAGAAAAAGAAAAAAAAAAAAAGGCTCATAAAAAAATAAAAAACAAAGAAATATATAATAAAAAAGACGAAAAAGAAAAGAAAAAAAAAGCGAGAATTGCCACCAATCTCTCCCCAGAATCGCACCGTCTGGGATTCCTTTGTTTGTTTGACAGAGTTTCTTTGTCACGTTTTCTCCTCTTGAGCCAGTCTTCATGGCCGTCAGGATCCTCTTAACCTCATTCGCAACCTCGTCTTCCTTCTCCCTTTCCCTTCTTTGCTTTCGCGGTCATCTCGTTTTGCTATTATTCTCATTTTTATTTCTTATTATTATTATTATTTATTATTATTTTATTATTATATTATTGTTGTATTATTGTTATTATTATTATTATTATTATCTTATTATTATTATCTTATTATTATTATTATTATTATTATTATTATTATTATTATTATTATTATTATTATTTATTATTATTATTTATTATTATATTTCTTATTATTATTATTATCATTATTATTAATTATTATTTTTATTATTTATTATTATTATTATTATTATTATTATTATATTATTATTATTATTTATTTGTGTGTTGTGTCGTCGTCTTATTATTCGTGTCTTATCATCTTGTTTGACTTTCCGCTTTATTTCTAATTTTTTTGTTGTTTTTTTTGTATAATTTTTCTTTTGTGAGTTGGAAAATATTGTTTTTTTTTTTTTTTTTCCTTTTAGCTTTATCTTTCCTTCTTTTTTTTCTTTTTCCTTCCTCCTTCCTCTCCCTATTCTTCTTCCAATCCCTCTCTTTACTCCTTCCACCTCCCCTCCTTCCTACCTCCCATCCCTCTCCCTTTCCCACCCTTTCTACCCGTCCCCCATCTCCTTTCTCTTCCCCTCCTCCTTACTTCTTCTCACCTCTTCTCTCCTTTCTCCCTCCTTTCCTCCTCCCTCACTCTCTCCTCCTTCCCTCTTCCCTCCTCCCTCTCCTTCCTCCTCCTTCTTCTTCCTTCCCTCCTTTCCTTCCTCCTTCCTCCTCCCTCCTCCTTCCTCTCCTCCCCTTCTCCTCCCCTCTCTCTCCTTCTCCTCCTCCTCCTCACCTGCATCTTGATAGCCACGAGTTCCGCGATGTACCGCCGGTCGTCCTCCTGCGAGTCGCCCATAAGGGTCAGAGCAGAGTCGTTGACCTCTATAATGTGTTCGTTGCCGCTCTTGTCCACAATGGCCTCGATGGCGCAGATGTCGAGGCCGCCGAAGAGGGAGGAGACCTGTTGGGGGGGGGCGTGGGAGGGGGTGGGGCGGGCGTGCGGTAGGGTGTGGGTAAAAAGGTGTGTGGGTGTGGGTGGGGTGGGTGGGGGAGAGGGTGAGGCATAAGAAGGCAGTGGTGGGAAGTGGTAAGGAGGGCAGGACGTGGGTGGGTGGTAAGGTAGGAGGGGAGTGTAAAGGGGAACGGGGTGGGGTGGTAGGGGGTAGTAAGGTGGTGGTAATGGGGATTAGAGGGTCGGGGATGGGAGGGTGACAGGGAGGACGGGTTGAAGGACAGATTTCAAGATTAGTAACTGGCTGATGTTGGGTTCTTTGGCAAGAGGGATGACATGGAAAGACAGATCTACAGGGATAAAAAAGGCAGTGATTTATCTTTCCTTTGTCTAGGAATTCCCATTCACACACACACACACACACACACACACGCACATATACACACATATACATACATATATATACTCATACACATACACAAGTGCACAGTGTAAAAAGGAAAGATCTATCTCTATACCTTTACCAAAAGTACATATCTACATATTCCATCAACAAAGACAAAAAACGAAACCCCAATGACAAAATCCCTCCTTAACGAAATCCCCCAACTCCCCAATCCCTCTTCGGAGTCCTACCTCGTCCACCCAGGCCTTGTACCGCTCCGTCATGGACGCCTGTTCCAGCATCGCCGAGCCTGTGTTGGTCTTCCAGTTGCCAGATATGGACTTTCTCCTGGGGAAGAGAGGGGAAGGGGGGGGGGTGAATTTCATTGAAATTTTGTTGAAGGAGTTGTTGATTTGTTTATTTATCTATAGACTTGCGTATTGTTATTGTTGTTATTAGTATTATTGTTATCAATTGTTGATATTATCATTATCATCATTATTATTAACATTATTAGTAGTAGTATCATCATTACTTTTATCATTATTATTACTACTACTATTATATATTATTATTGCTATTATCATATTGCCATTGTTGTCCTTGTATTACATGATCACTATCATTATCATTATTACCATCCTCATCATCACTGATATTTTCATTATCACTATATAATACATTTATATTATCAAAATCACTATGAATTAATTGATTACTTTTTCTACTTTCTTCACTTTTGGATTCTGGTCTTGGGAGGGAAGGAGGAACTGGAAACGGAAGGATTAGTCAGAGACAGAGAAGAAGTCTGAGACAATTACACAGAGAAAAGAAGAGACGGATAGAAACAGAGAGAGCGGAAGGGAGAGAAGTAAGACAAAGAAAAAGACAAGAGCTACAAATAGAGACACGAGACAAGACAGACAGATAGATAGATAGAGATAGATAGATAGAGAGAGAGAGAGAGAGAGAGAGAGAGAGAGAGAGAGAGAGAGAGAGAGGAGAGAGAGAGAGAGAGAGAGAGAGAGAGAGAGAGAGAGAGAGAGAAGAGAGAAAAGAGAGAAAAAAAAAAAAAAAAAAAAAAAACAGACAAAGACAAACAGACAGAATCCAAAACCAAACCCCCTAACCCAGCCCTAAAGAAAAAAACAATAATAATAAAATAAATAATAAAATAAAATAAATATAATAATAAATAATAAATAATAAAAACCCGAGACACTCACTGGAAGCACTTGTACATGCCGCCGACCTTCTGAATATGGATATCGAACTTGGCATCAATATAAGGCTCCGTTGTGCAGTAGGTGTTCGCCACGGCCACCACCGATGCCATGTCCTGGAAATCCGCGTTGCTCTCCACCCGCACCTTGCCCAGTCCCCCGTGGGCGTGGCCGACCTTGAACACGCACGGGTACCGGGGGCCGAGAGCTGTGGGGGGGGAGGGGGGATAGGTGTGGGGTTAGGTATTTGTTGATTGATATATGTATATATATATTTTGTTTTGATTTGTTTATTTTGAAATGCGAGAAACGAAAAAAGGTAGTGTTTCTTTTTTCTTTTTTATCTTACTTATATATGTATATATATATATATATATATATATATATATATATATATATATATATATATATATATATATATATATATATATATATATATATATATATATATATATATATATATATATATATATTAGGATTTTGATGTGTTACCAGACACTAAAAGTATTAACTTTTTTGGATAGACCACTTATATTCTAATCCACTGACTGACAAAACGCGCACGATTTTGATGTGAAACAAAAAACGATGCTTAAAAAACTGTTTTCCAAAAGGGTACAGCCATAATATCTAAACTATTCTATCAATACTCCACCGTATCACTAAGTACCATTGCAGACTTCTACGACAATTCACACATCATATCATTAAAAGAGCATTGCCCCATTTGCAAATTTCAGTCCCATCATATCATTAAAAGAGCATTGCCTCATTTGCAAATTTCACTTCTACGACAATTCACACATTATATCAATTAAAAGAGCATTGTCCCATTTGCAAATTCCAGCCATACCAGCGCTTCGACCTGTGTGGATACCGGGCCCTAATCACCAATTCCAACATGGTTTGGTATCCACGTGTACGTCCTAAACCATTTAGGATATTCCTGACTAATAATTCTAACCATATCAGAACTACTTTGTCATGTTACATATCATTCAAATAACGACATTCGTAACTATGTATGCCGTCAATTGTTGATATTATTATCATTAATATTATTGTTATTATTATTATTATATTATATTATTATTATTATTATCATTATTATTTATTATTATTATTATCTATTATTATCTATTAATATTATTGTTATTATTATTATTATCATTATGATTATTATCATCTTTCTTATTACTATTATTATTATCGCTATTAATATTAGAATACAGTATTTGCAATAGTACCCATATAACAGGATCACACTACAGTATGCGGTAACATATCTACAGTAACAGTACTACAAGGATCGGAATACAGTATATGCAGTACCAAATAATGCATCACAGTTAGAATACAATCATACAACATAATCAAAATACAATCGATGCAATAACAACCATAGGGCAGAATCAAAATACAATATACAAAATAACCGCACAACAAGAATCAGAGTGCAGTGTATACAGTAACAACCATACCGCAGAATCAGAATACAATATACAACCGAATCAGAATACAGTATATACAGTAGTAACAGCGGGCACTTTTGTTTACCAGCCCGCCCTACCCCCTGCCCCCCCTACCCCCCCTCCCCGCCGAGCAGGTAGGAAGAACAGGTCATACACCTTGTAATCAATACATCCCGAACGCCGCCGGCCGGGAGGACAACCCGACAAACCGACGAACCGACAAACCGACAAAGCGGCCCGGGCGAAACACAAGAGCTGGAGTCTGTTCCGGTTCACACCTGATTATAGGTTCTCGCTGGATCTCGCCGAATCTCGTTCTTTTAACCCGCGCCGAATCTTTGTTTCGTTCCATCTCGCTTCGTCTTGTTTTGGCTTCCTTTTGTTTCGGTTCTCTTTTCGTCTCAGTTTATTTCGTTCTATCACGCTTTCTCTAACCGAAATTCGCAATTAACACGCTTCATCTGGTCGAATCTTGCCAAATCTCGTCTTTCTTCCTTCGTTTCGCCAAATATTGTTCTATCTCACTTCATCTCGCCAAATCTCGTATTTTCTCCCCTTATTTCGCCAAATTTCGTTCTAAACTCGCTTCATCTCATCAAATTTCTCTCCATTTCGCTTCATCTCTCCAAATCTCGTTCTGTTTCCCCAAATATCGTACCATCTCGCCAAATCTCGTTCTATCTCGCTTCATCTCGTCAGAACTCAATTTACCTTCTTTCATCTAGACAAATCTCATTCTATATCGCTTCGTCTCGCCCAAACTCGCTCTCTTTCCTTCTATCTTCTTTCATCTCGCCAAATTCGTCCATCTCGCCAAATCTCGCTCTATCTCGCTCCACCTCGCAAGATCTCGCTCTATTCTGCCGCCAGCGCGCATCGTTCGCCCCTTCGGAACGACACCTTTAACATATGCTTGAATGATTTATTTGTGTCTTTGGCACGGGGCGCGAATTCAATCTGCTAATTGCTTCTTTTTTATTACTTTTTTCTTTATTTCAAAGTGTGCCGGAAATACATTAACAACCAGGACATACTGGCGATGAAATGAATAAGTAAATAGCACTTAGCAACTTTCCCGAAGATTTATTTGTTCCCTAAAGCGAAACGTTTGATTTAAAGAGACATTTGAGTGTCAGTTTTGGCGGGTTTCTCCAACGGCTGTCGCTTGCAGGTGTCGCTTGCCGTGGGGAACTACTATTTTTTTTTTTTTTTAAGTTTACTGAACTTCTGGAAACC